TTCGGCACGATATGGCCAGTTATGTGTTGACGTGCCGTAAAAATCCAAACAAACGAACATCGTCGAAAAAAGCTATCACTTCAATATGCAACTAGAATTTCATCTTATAGCAAAAATCCAGCTAAAAATATTATTTTCAAACCAAGTTATACTGAAAAAATTGTTAACAAACCAAGGAAACTAAACCATTAGGCCTTCGTTTAAAAGATTTAGATAAACTTAAAATTAATCCAGACAGTATCCTTCAAAATTACAATGAGGATATTCCACCTTGGACTTATAATTCACCGAAAATAAATATTAACCTTTCAAATATAAAAAAGTCATCAAATTCACCTGAACATTTCAAAGAGAAGTTTCTAGCAATTAAAGAAGAACATGAAGATTTTATACATACTTATACGGACGGATCAAAAGAAGGTTGCAAAGAAGTTGCGGCTGTGTTTGAAAATAATTTTACATCTAGAATGAGGTTACCAGATGATGCATCAATTTTTACTGCTGAAGCCAAAGCTATAGATTTAGCATTGTCATACATAGTACAGCATACCCATGATAAATTTATGATATTTTCTGACTCGCTTTCTGTTTAATATCCATTAAAAATAAAAAATCTGACAATATCATGATAAGGAAACTTCTTTTACGATTTCATGATATACTTAAAACAAAATCTGTTATTATATTGGATTCCAAGTCATGTAGGTATACGAGGAAATGAAAAAGTAGATGCTTTAGCTAAACAATCATTAAATTTTCAAAAAAAAATGACTTATTGTTACCTGCTTGCGATTTTAGACCGGCTATAAATAAACTCGTATCATCTGAATGGAAAGCAAATTGGGACAATGCCGTTTTTAATAAACTTCACGATATAAACCCATCTCTTGATGTGTCACCATCTCTATCTCTGTCAAACCGCCATGATCAAACAGTTCTTCTTCGATGCCGAATTGGACACACTAAAATTACCCACTCTTATTTCCTCACGAATGGCAATGTCCCTTTTTGTGTAGCTTGTAATGAAAATTTTACTGTCAAGCATTTTCTTCTTGAATGTCATGATTTTTCATATAACAGGCCCGATATAGATTTTATTATGTAAATTCACTCAAAGAATAAAATTCCATCAAAAAACATCATTGATTATTTGAAAGAGATAAACTTGTATTCTTAGATCTAATTGGCTCATTTTCATTGTCATTTACAAAGTTTTACATAACATTTTAAGCCTATTATAGCATTCGGCACGATATGGCCAGTTATGTGTTGACGTGCCGTAAAAATCCAAACAAACAAAAACCTACTGAAATGTTGCATTCTAAATAAAAAAAACGCCATAAGATTGTTATTAAGTATAAACAAATTGTAAAAAAGACTTACATTTTCAAGAATAATCTCAACATTAAAACTAATACTAAACTAGAGTTTAACTGTAAACCAACTCAAACTAGAACTTCCACTGTCTTGGCGTGAATACCCCCGCATACTACTTTGTCAGAGTCAACAGTGGTCATTTAGAGCTCAAGGACAACCTCCCTGTCAAATCTGAGGGTAGTAAGCCAGTGCATTGCGAAGTTATGTATTCTACATGTTTTTAGTGGCAAAGATAAGTGACCTTTACCCTCGACCTAATGACCTCAAAACTGAAACTTCCATTGCATGACTTGAATACCCCCATTCATGCAGCTTTGCCTGGGGGTGTTTTATGATGAACATCGGCGTGGCATACTGAAAATAAAACTTTGCCCGGACGCGTATCAGTTTTAGATTTTAACGAGGGTCCATCCGCCCTTTAATCCATAAAAAAGCAGCTTTCTTTGTCGGGTACAGACAACTGAAAACTCAAGCGATAAGAAAACGAAGACCTGCTAATCGCGCTAAGAAATTTGGAGCTTTCGAGACATTTTTCAAAGTATCTTGCGAATGTCGTTCGCAAGTGTGCGACTCAATTTCGCAACCCATTGTGACAATGGTTTTACCACCAAATCAAGCCCAAACGCACTTGTTGCATCAAAATCCGTCTTTAATACAAAATATAGAATTCCCTCTACTTGTATTTGAATGGTTATCCATCAACTCGAGCTGCTTTTAGCAAATTTTACGAAAAAGGGTCTTTTAGGGCACACGCATTCTTTTAATTGGGGATCATACGCCGCTTTTCATGGAATGACACTACTGTGTCACATTGAAGGTTCCATGATAACCGCCGTATGAACACATCTGCGGATGTTTCTAAATTCAAAATTTTACCATTTTTGTCTGCTTAAGCCGGTACTAGGGGGCGTGGACGGTAACTTGCACTTTCCAGTACCTTCCATGAACAGGCTCAATCAAACCGAGCCTGCAACATTTTACAATTTAGCCGTGTTAGACTTTCTTTAGGGATTCTGTTTTTCTCTATTATATTGCCGTGTGTACAGAGTCTAGCAAGAAAACAAATTTAAGTGAAAGGGGTATAGAAGTTTGATTTACAGCGTTAAGTACATTATCCTTCATGTACAGACTTAATCACTCAAACCGAGTGATTGTACACTGCAATTTTCATGTTATTTTGCTGTTTAATGCTTCCGAGGGATAACATTTTCCCAGATATTTAGAAGAATGTGTACAGTGTCTTGCAGTCACATATTCTTAAAGTTTATAATCTTTTATATTATATTTATTTGGAAATGATCTCATTTCAGACTAAAACATGGGGAAATGATACGAAGGTGCAGAGTTATTTGGTAAATTTTTAAACTTGTTAGTGTATAAAAGAAACCGAGAAAACAATAGGAATTTTGAAAGGGGATCAGTGGTTAAGAAGCCTGCATATCACAGATAAGACGTCAAAAGACAAATGTTAAAAGCAGGCAATTGAAGAGTCGTCTGACCTACTCGCTGAATGGAATTTTTACTGTGAACGCTGTACGTTTTGCATCAGAAGTGCCACCATTTATTCCCAGCGTGATCGTTAGAGGCGACTAAATGGGTTCAAATTGCTAGAGTCTATGCATTTCTTAGCTCAAGCAGTTGATGTGATTTTGGAGTTTCTTTAAGTTTGTAACACCCGAAGTTAGTCAAAACCATATTCCTGTTTCGGTGTCATATGATTTACATTGTGTTGGTGCGCCATAAAACCAAACAAAAACATAAAGCATTCTTATAATTGTGTTATGTTCAACAACTTGAAGCCTGGAGTCTCGAGTGGTAACGTCTAGAATATTGGTAAACTTTTAAACTTTATTTTATTCAGCGTAATTAAGTGAGAAAAAATTTGAAAACAAAGTGATCCCTCGGAAGCATTAATCACAACAAAATTGCAGACTCGCTTTGATTGAGTCTGTACATGAGGGATAATGAATAAGTGCAACATCTCACGTCCCTAGCACCGGCACTTCAACACATCAACACTTAATAGTGCTGGCATCAATGATCCCGAAGGACTAGAAAAATATAACAACTCTGAAGTGAAGTACGGGGCAACTTTTTACAGCTGCCATACGGCCGTTGACACCTGGTGTTATGAAGTATATAAATATGAAAACAAAGTTATCCCTTGGAAGCATTAATCATAAAAATTACATGAAAATTGCATACTCGGTTTGACTGAGTCTGTACATAGTTCAAAGTGTTCTTAATAGCGAGAATAATGGGTCATTAAAAGCAAAACCAGAGAAATACTATATTTGCGGACATTTGAACTGCAATTTTGAATTTATATTATCCCAGATATTACTAGTAGGAACAAAACACATTAACTCATCAAGAGAGATAATGTTTTCGGTTATAAGACACGTTAGTATAGCACATTACTCTAGATATTACATTAATTTGCATGATACTGTATATACATTTTGCGGCCATTTTGAATTTGGTCGCCATTTTGATTTACAAATAAGAGACAGTTTTGAAATTGAAGTGGATATTTGAGGTTCTAAATGTTTATAGTTACTATATTTCAAGTTTCAATGACTAGTATTGAGTTTCAGTTATTTAGTAAAATTGAATTTAGTGGCGTTAACCCTTGCTTTTTGAGAGAGCACCTGTCAGATGCGAACATGTGGTTTTTGGAGCTAGGCGGTGAATCAGCTCTTCAATTTGTAGGGTATGCAGAAGACTTAAAATAGTGAAAAAAGTAGGTGCATGACTCCCCGTTTGGATGTTATTTTCAGATTGTGCATTGTTTAATAAGGAAGAATCACTATAGCTTGTGATTTAATCTTTTGACGTTAATATCTTGTTGTATTTTGCGAATAGAGGTAATCCGCTCTTTTTGTCGTTGATTTTCGCGACCAAAACAATGAAAAACACAGGGCTATGTGCCAGAAAACTAGAAGGTGGACATGTATTTTTAATTATTTGCTGTGAGATACATATGTATATGTTAAATATGAAATGCATTTATTTCAGGTGTGTGATTACAGACTTGTGTGTGAGGTTTTGATTGTGGCGCAGTCAGTTGTTTGCCGAGAAGCCTTGAAAACTGTGTATTGCCCCCGTATATACATTTTGCGGCCATTTTGAATTTGGTCGCCATTTTGATTTTAAACAGCTAGAATGACATCAAACAAACATAATCCAAAGAATTTACTAACGATAATTTATTCTATGATTTTAACTTGTACTGTTTTTTTCATAATAAATTATGTTTTATTGATAACTACTTACCACGAGACATTTCTAGCAAAAAAAAAAAAAAAAAAAAAAAAAAAAAAAAAAAAAAAAAAATACACCTCACGACATCACGGTTCCTCGTGAATATTACTTGTAATTTGAGTCCACTTTCTAGAAAAAATTTCAGATACGAAAGTGTACGAAGTTTGCCGACGGAATACGAACTGGCGTTCGATAAATAGCTAAACACTTCCTTGTTCTTTTCCAATATAGGAGAGTTAGAGAGATAGAACCGATAGAACCATATATAGTGTGTATTGATCATTACGTATTTTGCTTCCGTGTTGAGTGAGAACGACCCATATATTTCTGATTGGCCAATCTTGCAAGAGGAAGTACGATTTCACGTCGTTATTTTATTTATCATTAGATAAGTTCTATATCATAGTATAGAAGAAATGTTAGATAAACAGCCTTTTAAATAGAGAAAAGTGAATTAACATTAATAACATTACTGGTCAAGGAACTTAATCGCGTTTTAACAAGTAAGTTTAATTTTTGTAAAAAAAATAGAAACACTCAAGCGGTATGTTTTATTATAAAGAAAATTAAAACGTAATAAAAAAGTAATATATCTAAAATTTACAAGTTACATATAAACTAGCTAGCATGGATAAATATAAGTAACGTCAAGTCAGTTTTTATTTCTTTTTAAACATAATTTGATCGTTATTTTATTTATTTATTTTTTGTCTAGTGTTGTTTTATCAAATAAATGTTACATGTGATTATAACACTGTCTTTGTGGTTTGGTTTTATTACATGTAATTTAAATACACAAGCTTTTGAATATCCCGCTTTTATTTATTCGAGTGTTAAAAGATTTTTTTTACAATGATAAATGGACAGCATTCTAAACATATCATAAATTTTCCCTTCATTTATGTGCAATATGTCAATTATTTCGAACTTTCTCACGTGAAAAGCATTCTTTGATAGTTATTATGTGATATTTATTTCATTTAACACCGAGTTATATATGATATAAGGCAATGACTGGTCGAAATATCGCCTAGGTTTTGGGTAAAAGTGCACGAAATGTTAGTAGCTTATGAATATAAATGAACCTGCATTTCTCCGATTGTTGAAGTATAACATCTATTTTTGTACAATCATCTTGTAAAAGTAAATATTGTCGCGCTTAGAAGTAAACAAACTTTCATTTCCTGACAAGTGAATAGATTTTCCATAACGCATTGATGACTATCGGAAAAAAAAATCTAGAAACCTGCGTTATCGTTTATATTTAGACACATGTTTCTATGGATATCGGAAAAAGTCTGTAACCTGTTGGCAAGAGTTTCCTTATCCCTCAGTAACAATGACAGATGATGAAATGTTCAGATATTTGATAAAAATGCCAGAAATCATTTTATATAAATATGTAAATATTTATGTGTTAGATTTGCGATTAATGGATAAAATTGCTAAAATATGTCAGGACGTATGTATAAATGAGCCGCATCATGACAAAACCAACATAATGGGTTTGCGACCAGCATGGATCCAGACCAGCCTGCGCATCCGCGCAGTCTGATCAGGATCCATGCTGTTCGCTATCGGTTTCTAAACTGGTTATAGAGTTTGTAAGCTAACAGCATGGATCCTGATCAGACTGCGCGGATGCGCAGGCTGGTCTGGATCCATGCTGGTCGCAAACCCATTATGTTGGTTTTGTCATGACGCGGCTCAAATGTCTTTTCTCCAGGAATTACTTAAACGAATTGTATTTTCATGGGTTTCCGGATTTATAATTATATACAGAACTGTCAGTATGTATTACAGCAAACACCAAATATTTAAACAAAAAGAGAAATATTCTAACATATGAATTTGATTCTGCTTAAAATAATAAAATGATATCTGGGCTACATATAAGGTCGCGGTGAGACTTGCTAAACGGCACCATCCACATTAAAATATAAAGAAAATACAAAAATGTATTACTACATGAGGTAAAGGGAATACAAACCCAAGTCACTCTGGCAGTAATGACAGATGTGACGTGTTTAAAACTTTTCATGTTTCACATTTCACATTTTAGTGATATAAAAGGCTAGCTATAGGCGTTTTTCGTTTAAGATTTGTTTTCATGATATAATATTTTAAAGAGATATATGAGTTATTATATATTATTCGACGTAAAGACTAACTCAGCAGGCATGTTTTTCTGTATAAAGTATAAACATTAATTGTACAATATGATACACCAGTTTGTTTGTGACTGTGGGTGTAACCACAAGTAAAAAACTATTGTCGTAAAAGTTTGCATAGTTTTCTGTGACACCTAACACGTTGATACCGTATAAGAAAACATGTTTTTATGCCATAAAGCGACACAATGACGTCATTAATCATTATTACGGTAGTATTTAAGAAATGTTTACGTACGTAGTTTTTAAAATACAGATACGTTATAAGATTCATTATTTATTCTTAACCATATTGCACTGCTTCATTTTAGTATTTGTTTTATCATTTTTTTTATTAAATAGGATAAAAAGATTTAAAAACAACAACACAGTTTATCAAAACATTCTTAGCTTTATCTTAATATGAAAAATAACAAAGAAAAGAAATGACGTTAACCTACAAGATAGACGTCTACGTTAATAGACGCCATTTTTTATTTAATAAATTTCCATATACATGTATATTGTTTACGGTTAAAGTGACATTATGCTCATCAAAGGGTACAGGTGAAGGTCACAAAAACTTAACATTTTGCCATAATCTCTTTAAATTTTATAATTAACTACGCATGAACGACATATAACTCATGTGGTTCAAGAAAATTTCTGTTTACATATATCCAGTAACGTTCAATTTATATAAAAAAAAAATAAAAAGGTGGGACTGTCTTTTTTATATTTGAAGGTAATTTATTTTTACTCCTAAACATTTTCCATTGTCAACTGTTAGTCAATCACCATTATAACAATTAATCTTCTGAAAAATAAAGTCATTTCAGCTCAACTTGACAATGAATCGATTCTTGCGCGCAGTTTCCTCTTTCACTTATATGTAGGTGGTCGCGGGTTCGCATCCCAGTCCCGGCATAATTTTTTTGATGTATTTCTTTTTATATGCCCGAAAGAATTTCGGGCATATTATGTTATACCCCCTGGCGTCCGTCCGTCTGTCCGTCCGTTAGCAATTTGGTTTCCGGAGCATAACTTAAGTTCCATTTGGCCCACAATATTCAAACTTCATAGGATGATTGTCCATATTGGGTAGAAGACCCCTATTGATTTTGGGATCACAAGGTCAAAGGTCAAGGTCACTATTACCTTAATACTGAAAACAGTTTCCGGAGCATAACTTAAGTTCCATTTGGCCCACAGTGTTCAAACTTCATAGTATGATTGTCCATATTAGGTAGAAGAACGTTATTGATTTTGGGATCACAAGGACAAAGGACACTATTACCTTAATACTGAAAACAGTTTCCGGAGCATAACTTAAGTTCCATTTGGCCCACAGTGTTCAAACTTCATAGTATGATTGTCCATATTAGGTAAATGACCCTATTGATTTTGGGATCACAAGGTCAAAGCTCAAGGTCACTATTACTTTAAACTGAAAACAGTTTCTGGAGCATAACTTAAGTTCCATTTGGCCCACAATAATATAAATTTCATAGGATGATTGTCCATTCTGGGTTGAAGACCCCTATTGATTTTGGGATCACAAGGTCAAAAGTCAAGGTCACTATTACTTTAAACTGAAAACAGTTTCTGGAGCATAACTTAAGTTCCATTTGGTCTACAATATTCAAACTTCATAGGAGGATTGTTATTTGAAGGAGGTAATACTTTATTTAATTCCCGTGTCTTACAAATGCTTCATCTTTACTAAAAGAAATCACTTTCGGGCATATTCGTGCTCTTGTTTTTTTGGTTTTTTGCGAACTAAAAATGTTTGTTAGAATATATAGTGAAAACGTTGTAATGTTTATATGACTAACACATGAACGTGGTTATGTTTATATAACTCAAAAAAGAACGTAGACATGTTTACATGTGTCACAAATGAATATGATAATGTACTTTTTAAAGAACTAGTGTAATTTTAGAGAAATCTACTTTCTTTAAGTTTAACTTTATTTAACACTTAGAACAGCATGCCATCATGCTTCCTATTGCCAAATTTCACTGCTTGTGTTTTGTATATATGTACAAAATGTATGTGTAAAGTTAACATCAACAAGATTCTTCACACGCATGCGTGTTGGTTATATTGAGCCTCGTGCATTTCAAGACATTTTCCATTTAAATAGAAAAAGCTGTATTTTTGTAATGCAGATTTTAGAAATTGGTTACGTGCGGTAAAATCCTTACACGAGACATTTCCTTCAATTTTTTTCAGATAAGGTCCTTTATTTACAGATCTTAGTGTAGTTTGAAGTAATTCTAATTGACTTGATAATGATAAAAAAATCATTTGTCGGCTTTGCAAGCCCCTTTTAATTCTTTATATAAATTATCAAAAAAGATGATACTCTCCTCATTGCACTATACAATTGAAGGTTTTTAAATGTACATGTAATTTGACGTTACAATAAAACCTGTAACAAGTAATATACCGTATTCAAATATCGTTTTCTGTATCTGAAATGTATCGGACTACTTGAACTTTCTTCCAAGACATACAACAGTTACTTCCGATGTTAAACAGTACCAAAACATAAAACAGTCGAATACAGTAGAAGTTAACAATAAATACTATCACGACACGTGTTCACTAAGGGGTATTAATTACTATAGAGCAAAAAAGAAGAGCAAACGTGTGTATTGCGCACATGGGGTATTAATTTTTATTGCTTTAAGAAGTATTGATATTTATAAAGGTATAAGGAAGCCTTTAAGAAAATAGGTATTGTATTATGACACTTAATATATCTTAATTCAAAGTTCAACAAGACTTTAACTGACAGAGGTTACAAAAACATGTCACCTTTAGTATTCTGTACCATTTGACAAAATGAAATGTTATCTCTTTTTACAGATATCTCCGTTATGCCAACGGTATACAAATCGTCGCTGATTGGCCGCCTTTACCTTAAGCAGGAAGTGTACGATAAATCGATACCACAACGTTTATATCTTCCATTGAATCACAGGCAAAAAGATTGTTTCTCAAGGAAGTAAATATAAACATTCAGGGGTAGATCCTTGTTTATAACCATGTATGGAAATTTAAGCAATCCGGAAACAAGTACCTGTATAGAGGGTTCACATTAACCACAAAGTTCCGTAATGATATGATATTTTATCGGGGAAATTCTACACGGTCACAAATGTGGGAAGGGGGAATTTTCAGTGTATGATGTATAGCGTATAAAAATTAACTCATTATTACTTTGACAATTCTACGAGGACGTATAACGATTTATAATTTATTAATATAGGTTTTGAACGTTATAAAGGGGGAAATTATGTTTCCTTTATAGATTTATATATAGTCTATGTCTCATGATTAAATCGTTTTCCCCAGTATGAAATTCTAATTTTTGGAACATTTCCTTATTTGACTAAATCGGTGAATATGATTTACGAGTGAATGCTGAAATAGAACTATAAACTATTGTGTATGTATGTAAAAAATTAGGAACATTTGCTGACATGAGCATTTCAGTGTGGATATTGTGATTCGTAGGAAAAAGTCATATCGGAAAACTGAGCAGAGTTCACGAGATGCTTAGATTTTATGACTCGACTTAAGATATGAGTCGGCCATACAGTGACATCATGGCTGTATCCTTAACTGTGAATTTTTGTGTTCTCTTCTTTAACATTGTACCGAGACTGCATTCAAAGGTGCTCACAATACCTACATTGAGGAAGTATACAAGATTGATAACCGTATGCAGACATTATACCGACACACCACAAGATCTTGCCAGAATGTAAGTTTATTTTTTATCATACATTAATCAGTGAAAAATTTAAGAAGAACAAAACCTCTCAAAAAAGGCAGAACATCATCATCACCATGATTATCATCATCATCGTCATCATCATCATAATTATCATCATAATCATAATCATCATCATTATGACCATCATTACCACCTTCATTAACAACACGATTATCATCATCATCATAATCATTATCATCATAATCATCATCATCATCATAATCAGCATCATTATCATCATCATTATCATCATCATCATACCACCTGCGCCACCACCAAGATTATCATTATCATCATAACCGTTAGCCACAACACCACTATCTTTAACATAAACAATATCAACAACAAAGCTTATTATACCCGTGGGGGGGGGGGGAATCTTTATTTCTTTTTATTGGATATTAACAGAGTAAAAGTGACACAATAATAATAGATTATGTTACTATTCACATAGGTAGGGCAACTAATTCTTTGAAAATAACGTCGAGCCTATCCCTTTATAAATCAAGGATACGATTTTTTTGTTTGAGTAATATAACGAGAAAAATAGGTTTTTTTATCCTTTAATTGTATGTTGATAATACAGTAACATAGAGTAAACATAGTAACAGAGATGTTATTTAAACTATACGTTATACATGAAACAGGGGAATTTCTAATACAACGTCAAACATTCACGCCAAGTTGTATATTTTAACTTTGAATATTGTTATACTATAGTCAAACATTTTATACTATATATATATATATATATATATATATATATGCTAAACTTATACAATCCCCCTGGGTTTTTTTTATTTAGGTACAACTAAGAAATTTAATATGCCATGTTTTACCCGATTAAATTAGTTTACAATGTTATATGACACTTTTTATATCCATTTTATATTTGGGCGTCTTCTTTTTAAGATAGAATTTCAACATTTAAAATGTCACTGTTATACAAAGTGGTTTAATCTTTCAAATAAACTATTTATAAAATAAATTATTTCTAATATCCATATAATTATACAATATTCAGATATGTAAGTAACAAACCCCCCACCTTTATCTCAGTATATATATTTTCGTATTTGTCTTGTTGCATAGATCACAAAAATCATAACCTTGAAACAGAAAAACGTGTGACTAAAATTCTTGGGCAGTTGATACCGTTTTGGGGTCATTTATAAATATCTTTAGTCTATTATATTCCCATGATTGAGAGAAGAATGAACAATTAAACCCGTTGATCAGACGAGAAGGGCTTAATGTTTGATGTATTTGTTTAAGAAAAGAACAGCGATTGTTTAATGGGTATTAAATGTAGATAAATATAATATAGTTTACATAGATAAAGTTTGCAGATAATACGCTTGTTTTACAGTAGTATTTTGTTATCACGACAGATAACGTTACGATGCCTGACAGGGACGCCTGTAATGATGGATTATTCATATTTGAGGAAACAAATTCTGTAATCATTACCGTTATTTTCGCTTTCGTATCGATCTTATTTTAACCAATGTGATATTGTTCCCGAGCAAATATTACGCATTCACCTATCAGGAAATATCTGGTAGTTCCCTCAAACCAGGAAGTGATTATCTCTATTTAGTATTAGCACGTTAATTTACTCTAATAAGTACAGATATGTCATTTGTTTAAAAAGATTACTCCGTAATTGGTAATTATCGTACCAAGAGCTTAATTACATATACCACCGCCATTTTAAAACACAAACTTCTTACTAATGTTTTTTTTGATTTAATAAAAACTGAACTGAAACTGATGATAGAAATATACTGTTCATAAGATACTGATTTATTATCCCCGAAAAACGTTTCATTTTACGTCGGTGTACTTATGTTTATTTAAACATCTTTTACGGGAAATATAAAGGAAACCTTATAAGGCAAGCCAATCAAGCTTTAATGATATTACTGCAGTAATCGCGCCACTAATCATTATCATTTATATCAAACAGATAGAACAAAAATCATATATATGTACAGAAAACATGTATCTTAAATTTTTTATCTGAATATATTCTTGACCTTGACAATGCCTTTATTTACCAAGACTGTCGAATATGTTCCAATAATATTAATGAGTACGAGTTACAGCGCCAAAATATGGGGATTTAATTAAAAACCGAAGAATATCTACAATATACTTAGTGTTTGAAATTATCTTTTTGTCCAATAGGATTGTAGTATTTCAAATGAATCGTAGCACATTTACTTTGATAAATCGGCAAACTGTTAATCAGTCTAGTAAATCGGCTGTTTATAAAAATAATTTAAAACACTAAGCTAGTTAAAATTTATAAGTGAGTCTGACCAATTTAATTTTGTTTATACGTACTAATAATCTTTAATCTATACTTGAACTTAATGCAGAACCGATAAGATGATAAAGGTGTCAAGAACCCTTGCAATGCTAAAAGTAAAGATTTCACGTGGAATTTTGTATCTGGTTTTGTTTAATGTTTACAATATGGATGTTATGACGAAACAAAGCATATCAGATCTTTTTATGTATCCCAAGTACATGGAGTATGTAGTAATTCGGTGTCATTATATTGTCACAAATGATACAAAGAGAGATTAAACAACTCGTTTTCACACATATGTTCCATTCTGATTGAAATAGCATTACGTATAAAGTTTATTGCTTACAAAGTTTTGAATCGTAGCGAGAGAATGCCTCTTTAATTCGGTTGTCTTGTCGTTATTTATTTTAGCTCCTAGTTTGACAACAAAATGTACTGAACATTTGCGATTGTAAAATATTTAATACTTTAATGGTAGGTAGTTTAAGTTTCTTTAGAATACATTAAATTTCACTACACTAAGACGATCATATTTGACATTTGTTTTTCTTCTATTTCCAGATTAACAAATCAGATTTTGCTATGGCTTCTCGTATTGTGCAGTCTTTTCGCCATTTGTGCCAGTGACGTCATCAGGTATCCGTTTCATTCAGAGATTTCAAGAAATTGGCAGACAATTTTTGTTGAAACCCTATTTGCAGTGAATATTGGAAGATATATGTTCATAGTATCAGAAAAATTTCTCTTCAAACGGACGACAACCAAAGTTCAGTTTAGAGCAGATATCGTGCATCATTTCGTGACAGTTACTTGTTATGTACTATTTTTAGCATATGGACAAAATTTGCTGCTAGGACTTGTGGGTATTTTGGTCGAATCTACCTCAATACTCGACGAAGTAGGACGCTTCTGTAAAGAACGTGAACGCCGGAATACATTATTCTACAAAAGATTAGTCGTAGTAAACTGTGTAGGAGTCATTTGTTTTAGAGGTGTTATACCGGCAGTGTTTCTTGTCATTGCCATGTTTCAACAAAGTCCATTTACAATGCATTATGCTCCACTCATGCTATTTTTTCTCAGTATAATATTTTTTTCTGTTATAAACGTATGGCAAATGCTTTCAAGCATTCAACGATTAATGAAACGTTTTTATGACAAAACAAACGAATTACCTTCAAGTGAGCCGGAAGTTGGTCAAAGTCAAGGAACGCTTGTAAGACACAATCCAAGGAGATCAAGTCGTAAAATTAAACTTGCAAAGAACAATCTGGGATACCTGCGTCCATATGAAAACAAAAATATTGCAAGCTGCACTGATGAAAAATATAACCTAAACAATCGTAAAGAATTTGCAAAGGAAACTGTTGGTGCACACGTTAATCCTGAAATGTTTTTTACGGTAAACAAATTAAAAGGTTTCTGTTCGGATATAGAAGCAGCAGACCTTGTTTCCGGTGGACAAGCTTTACAAACAGACACTCTTGAATATAGAAATAATACACAGTTGAATAGAGTACCAACGGTTTTGTTTTATTCTGGACGAAGACCTTTACGGGAAAGTGACAGTACAAACGATTCTTCACACTCCGACAGTGTACTTATAACCGGAACTTTACGAAACAGTAATAGTAGTGCCGTTAACACGTCATTAAATAATAGCAATGGAAGATACATTAGTGGTGGTGATCTAGAGTATTTGGTAACCGAACCAAGACATAATATTGTAAGAAGTATATCCGCCGGTAATATAGACAATACATGCAGAGAGTCTGTATAAGTGACTACCTCTATATCAATGAGGAAGAGATTGCATATACTGTCATTGATAAACAAACAGGTTGTTGTTTTTTTTGTGCCACAAAAATCAAAATCTCATTTTGCTGGATATTATTTTATTTAAAAATAAGGTTGTATAAATAGATGATGAAGTTTTAAGGTACATATGAAGTCATTAAATCATATTTGCATAAACATTTTTAGTTCAACATATAAAATAGAGGAAATAAACAGAATCTCTAAATAACGCCCAAAACGGCAAAACTGAAAATGTTGTAGACTCGGTTGACATAAGCCACGGATTAGAAATACTTTACATTCCATTTTCAGTATCCACATCCCCTGAAGGCAATAACATCAATGCGTATCTTATAAATCGAAGTTCATAGTATAAAATAATCATAATATTATTCATGAAAGTTGAATCGAGCCAGATAGGAATAATTCAACATAAGAAGGAGACTTGTGATGGTTTATATTTGCAAATTTCGTCCTAGAAATACACGAGAAGGATAACTTAAACCATTGTGAGCACTGCAATTGAATACAGAGGGCTTTCAGACGTGATCATCGTTTGCGTCAAGCATAACTGTTAAAACGGGCATTTACATGTAGTATGTTTGTATTGCTTATTGTAAAACAATAGCAAATAATGTTAACAAAAATACGTAATTAGATATATTTACTAGTCGTTATTTGATTATTGATTTATAGATTTCGGTTTAGTCTATATATAGTAAACTAATTAAATAATTTTAGTAGATAATTGGTGTATTATGTTAAAAGTAACTGTAGCGGAGCTAAAAAGAAAATCTTATCTAACAGGAAGTGTCACACCACGTCATCTGTTAGGTTGGTTATCTAGTTAATGACATAATGGAAAGTAATAGAAAAAAACCCAAAGTTTATTGTAAGGTTTATTGTTATAATTACTTTTATGAAATAAATGTGTACTTTTAAATTAGTGTGTGTTTTGTTTTTGTTGTTTTTTTTTCCTATTTTTTTTATTTTTATTTATTTATTTATTTATTTTTTTTTTTTTTTGGGGGGGGGGACTTTTTTTGTATTTTCTGATCGTAAGATCAGTAAATACATAGCTAACATCCACGGTGTAACACAAAATTTCCTTACAGTCCTAACAACGCAAAGTAGTTCTCACTCAAAACTGCTTAAAAACCAGCAATTTAAAAGAAAGAATAATTTTTAATATAGGCATTTAACAAATTACAGTGCATTAAAAGTTTAGATTAGTCAATAGAAATATGAGATTACAATCACAAATTTCGCGGATGAATATCTTTTTTACCCAATGAAAAATGTTCGGCTATTTCCATAAAGCTTCGGATTATCATGAATATCATTTTAATCAATGAAAAAGCTATTTTTAGCTATGTCGATTAATGAATACTCCAGAGCGTAGTACACAAATAAATCTGACTGTCGAGTAGTGGAATATATACATGTCGGACTGTTTTGGCGAGAAGATTTTCGCTATATTATTTTCATCAGTGTTAAACAACAGGTTTATCGTGAACAAAATACCTCGAAATTAATAAGGATTGTAAACACGAAATGGAAATTCTCAATTTAGAATTACATATTGTATTCGTTTTTATTCAAGGTTCATATGTATTACTTCGCCGTGGTGCAGAGGTAAGCGGTCTCGTTGAGGGTGTGAGAGGCCTATGGTTCAAATCCTAGTCGAGGCAATTCTATTTTTTTCATGCAAAATTCCATATGTATCAATCTCAAACTGTTATAGAAGAAAATCAAAACGCTGTCGCTGCGTAAGATGAATTATAGTATATAAAAATAAACTTATATAGGAAAGTACATACAGATAGTCTGTATGATTTAGATTGCAAAGATCAGAAAATACCATAGAGCTGCAGCCCTTTGATTGTAGTTTTGTATGCTGGCCAGATGTAAAACAAATAGACGTATTGCCCTCGACTTCTATCAAATATTGTTGATCGTGGTAAATGGAAAAAACTTTGGATGCTTTAAAATAAACCATTGACTTTGATTTTACTGCTTTAACCGCAGAGCAACAAGAAGCTGACTGAATATCCTGTAAATATAGAAAATAATTATTATAGGTCACGCTCCATTGATGCAAAACATGTATCAGAGAGAGAGATGTGTACTGCATCAGATAAGATAATATCACCAGGTCATCTAAGTACACGAATGTTTACAGTTGAGTGATATTTTCAGCTTAATAATTCGTTATATAGCAACAGTTTGTCATTTTAAATGTCGATATCGTATCTTCTCTAACATACCCGTAAGAAACTGATTCAATTAAAGGCATTTTTAAAGCAGTATTACTATGTCGACGCTTTTGTCGATGTTTTTAAACTTGCCTTAGTAAAAAAATTATTAAAAAAAACCAAAAACAAAAAACGGACAATAAAATTTGCGTCATTACACAGACTCGGCGTAATATTTAACGAGCCTCGGCTATTATGCGTCGCCGTAGACCTCTTACATAATAAGGCAAGATATTAGAACTACTTGAGTCACATGATTCCGTCATTCTGTTAGTTTATGTTATGTCTGTTGCAAAATTTCAATTTTAGTCATACTATTTATTTTTTCCCATTAATATGACTTGAGTCAATTGTAAAGAATATTATGATAATATATCACCAAGTGAAATGCTCTAAATACTGAGGGGTATGTCATTTGTTACTTTCTCGCGGCGAACGAACACTGCCTTATAACCCGGGCGAATTACATGGGTGCGTATTCGTGTTCTACGTCCGAGGCCTCAAGTCGGAAGTAACCGATGTTTAACGTCTGATTTAGAAATAAATAAGCATCATATCTACTTAAGTCTATTCTTATTTCTTATTTAATAAATAACCGCCAAACGTTCATTGATTTTGGGTGATATTAAGACGGCATATAAGCATGCTCGTGAATTTTCTTTTGTCTTCTTTTTGTTTTGCGTTATTACACCTTTTGTTTTGCATCTCAAGGCATTTTCCTTCGCGTTATAACGCTTAAATTTGCTTTATTATGTCACTTATTTCGCGTTATTACGACTTTACACGCGTTACTACGCCTTTTGTTTCGTGCAATTGTGCCTTATGTTTCGCGTTAGAACACTTTTATTCGAGTTATTAAGCCTTTCCAATATCTTATTTTATTTAACTTTGTACTATTAGGCTTTTGTTATTATCACTGGAAAATAAGTGATATAATTGAATTAGAAAAAATCTCATAAAATTAGTAAATTGTACACAGACAGAATTCAGAATATCAGAACCGTGTAAGCTCATTCAAAGTTTGAAATGTAAAATATTCAAGGTAGAAAAAAGAGACAAAATTATGCAGGCTGTGTCAATCTGCGTCACCTTTGGAATAATGAAACATTTAAGATTGATTCCAAGATAGATGCCATATTGAAAGAATACTTTCTGCTGAACAAGATCATAAGTGTATATTTAGATGAAATGCACGTCCGTAACATGTCATTTAAAAAATTAAATGTTGACAGAACAGGATATTTTTTTGAAACATCTTTTATTTCAAGGAGTACATTTATAATTTAAGTACAAATATGGTTTAAAGATTCCTTGAAGATCGTTCGGCACGACATTATTGTTGTGTATACGTTTAGATGGTATTTTTAGTTTCTTGTGTTTGGCCTTTTTCAAATTGGTTGGTTCCAGTATTCCTACTTAAATACTGTATAATCACCCTTAGGATATGTTGCCTGCTTTTTAAATTTGTCTTTTGACGTCTTGTCTGTGATATGCAGGCTTCATAACCACATATCCCCTTTCAAAATTCCATTTTATTTAGTTCTGCCCATTGTTTTCTCGTTAGGGGCACACGCATTCTTTTACTTTGGGACCATACGCCGCTTTTCATGGAATGACACTACTGTGTCACATTGAAGGTTCCATGATAACCGAATATGAACACATCTACGGATGTTTCTAAATTCAAAATTTCACCATTCATGTGTTTAAATGTTGAATTCTGCTAAAGCCGGTGCTAGGGGCGTGGACAGTAACTTGCACTTTCCAGTACAGTCCATGTTAAGGCTGAATCAAACCGAGCCTGCAGTATTTTACAATTTTGCCGTGTTGGGCTTTCTTTAGGGATTTTGTTTTTCTCTATCTTAAAGTCGCGAGAAACTTAACTGTCAGTAAAATGTCGCGGGCAACGTTTAAATCGTATGTCGAAAATGTATAAATGTCGCGGCTTATAGAATCTCTCGAGTTTTTCTGCCACACTTTTGTCGTAAAATGTTTTACGAAAGAAACTGCGACATTTTCTGTCTATATAGTAGACTAAGCCACGCAAACATAATACCTAATTTAGTCATTATAATCTGCGATAATTGTTTTGATGTATATCACTTTGAAAGCATCGAGTAAGAGCATTTAACCTCGACTTTTTATGCCAGGAAATGCCGCTTTTAAAAAGTCGCGGCTGAAAACAGCTATAATAATTACTCGCCATTATTTTTTATTATAAGGCCGTTATTGAGGAAAAAAAGTCTCGGTCTATGATTTTCCTTCACTTTTTTGTAAAGTTTAAACAACGCTTGCAAAAATAATGTCGCGGATTTTTTTCTGTTCCTCGACTTTTTTTATAGACAAACAAAGCATAAAATGTAGAGTCAAACCATAAAAGATTTCAGTTGAATATATCTTCCTGTTGGGAAAGTAAGACCTAAAAAGTATAACAGAATAATCGTCATTTGTCAGAGCTCTAAATATTTGATTATACAAAGAAGTAGTTTACTGAATTATATTGTCTTCTAGCAATGTTTTGAAAAGTAGGACAAGGTTTTTTTAAATTATATATGAAGCCAAATAATGTAATACATCTTTCGACCAAGTTCCAACCAAAACATTTATAATCATAGACAATATACCTTAAGGCATAATGATATTGTTATAGAAATAAAAAAAGAAATGTAAAATAATTATGCATTTTATTAGAAAATTATCTTTTATCTTGCAATTCAAATCTTTTTTATACACACTTTAAAATAATTTAAATATAATGGAATATATGAGTTCTTGATAAAATGCCTCTGTCATAGTTAAATATTTTTCTGTTCAGTAACGGAAATAATGCTTCTGGGATATAATTCGTCATCGATATTGTTTGGGATGCAAATTTTAATCTTATCTAATCTATAAAATTATGTGCAGTTTTATACATTTCCTTTTTATAGGTTTGAACATGTTCTTTGTAAATCCCCTTTTATTTTACAGTTTATTATATTTATTCGTTGAGCTATGTCTAACGATAAGGCATGAATTATGAACATCAAATAAAATGCAGACTTCCTGTTTGTATATAAAGAATAGTTTTGTCCATTGCTTAAACATGTTTCAGGTTTGTTTCATTTAAAAAAGGAAGATGAACTTACGAGTGATAGTGAAGTTGAACGGGTGGAAAATGACGCAAGTTTTAACTTTATATTGTCTGATTGAGCATGGTTTGGATAATAAATTTATACTATAAATCAACAAGTTTGTCAAGTTTGAATAAATAAAGTTGGTGTTAAAATCAACGAATTGGTATTTCATAGATAACATTTAATTTCATATTAACCAGGAAGAACTGAAGTTAATGTCAATTACTCGTTATCAAATAAACCTGTGTATAAACATCAGCGTTATCTAATAAACTCTTACCTTGATATTCAAACATCTTACTTTTTTAGGAAACTATTTATGTGCTTGATATAGTAATGTTTTCCCCCTTTTTGTTACACGTTTCTATTATATGGTTTATATTTGTTTATATTTATTTTGTCATAGTGCTTGCTGTTTTGTACCTGATAACGGATATTTAAGCAGAATGAACGCTGTAATAATATAATTGATTTTAACTTTGTATTAATGGGCAGACAACTCGAAAACACGAGATTGGTACGTGACCCTGAATTCGTTTTTGCTAAATTGTTTCAGTTAATATCTTTTATTAACCA